AGGAAGGAAAGAAGGAAGGGAAGGGAGGGAGGGAGGAAATAGAGGGAGGGAGGGATTTAAACTTTTCAGAGCAGAGTATGGTTTATCTGCTTTGTTCCCTCTTATTTCCTCCAGGGTAACCATTTCTACAAGGGCCTGGATAATTGGAGGGAAACATATGGAAGAAAAGGCTCAGCCACCGAATAGTAATTCTCAACAGCTCGGTTCTCCCTTGGGTTATTAATTGGCCCTCAGCGGGACTCGTTGTTCTCTTTAGACTGAGGAACATTTTCTTTCCAGCTTTTACTACCATCGGTAGAGCTACCATGGCAAAGACAAGAGAAACAGCAACGGGTTGCAGCCTAGAGAGAAGAAAGAAAGTACGGAGCCAATTATAACAGAGCCTTGACCGATATCAAGAGTCCCATTTTTTTAATCCGTTGCTGGTTTTCAATGAGTGTGGAAGCTTCACAACCACTTTATCCAATCGTTAGACAAAATCCCAGTGATCCAATATGGCTTTCAAGTGTCTCAAGGAACAACCCTCAAATTCTTCAGTAAAAATTAATTTTAAAAGTTAAGGTTTGTTTTTTAAAAAAAAAAAAAAAGAAATAACCCTACTAACTGTTTACATGCGTCTATCCCTAGAGAATCATGATTTTCCGCACAGCAACTTTACTAAATTTGGATATTAGCCATCAGCTTGATTTAAGGCAATTTGAATGTTAATTTGGGAGCAGAGAAGGCCCCGTTTCGCACTATGATCAAAAAAGCCCACTTTTGGAGAAAGTGTATTTTCTAAAACTAGTTAATAACACCACTTTTTTTTTTTTTTTTTTTTGGGAGTAGTACCATAAAATTATATAACAATGGAAAAATAATTTAATCAAGAATGTAATGCGATAACTATTAGGAAGGATTTGCTATTAGAATAGCAGTCCCAGTATAAAGAAGAAAAGTGAAACACGTAGAAAAAAACGAGACATACAAAAACGATCACCATAGAAAAAACGAGATATACACAGATATATCACCCTGTCAGTTAATACTTAGTTGGGTAACCTTTAGCACGAACTACGGCCTTACAACTTCTTCCCGTGGAGTGAACCAAGTCTTTGAGTTCTGCAGCTGTTATCATGTGATTGTGAAACCGAGATTGAAGGATTACTTCTATTAACTGGGTTTTATTGCTGGGTCGCTTCTGACTAAGAAGTTTCTTTAGTCAACTCGGGGCTGATAGCTCAGCAGACTAAAAGCATTGTGATTAATACCAGCTGTCTGCAATTACTGTAAGTTCGAATCTCACCAAGCTCAAGGTTGACTCAGCCTTCCATCCTTTCTAAGGTAGGTTAAATGAGGACCCAGTTTGTGGGGGCAATAAGCTGACTTTGTATAAATATACAAAAGTATGAAGGCTATTGCTTAACGCATTGTAAGCTGCCCTGAGTCTCCGAAGAAGGGCGGCATATAAATCAATTAAAAAAAAAAACAACTCCATAGATTTTCAATTGAATTAAAATCTGGGCTATTCCCAGGCCATTCCAGCAGAGGAATAGGATTATCTTGAAACACACACACACACACAAAGAGGTGTTATTAGCCACCAAACCTCAAAAATACACTTTTCCCAAAAGGTTTCCACAATTTTTGGCCACTACTGTATATTCTGAGCTTCAAGGAGTAGCTGCAGCACGATTCCCAGCATCCTGTGCCTGAGGATGCTAGAGAAAGAATTCAAGTAAGAATCGAATGCCTCCTGGCTCCCCTCATTGTTGGATCCGGAAGTTAACGTCTTGAGTAGTGATCGCAACCATCTGGCTTCCATATTTCCACCAGCGCCCCCACCCCCAGGAAATAACAGCTTTGGGTAAGGAAGTTAAATAAAACACAATGGGAGAATACTGAGAAACAGAAGAGAAGAGAGCATTTTGCGGCAGTCGGAAAAATTGCAGTCCAAATGTAAATTATATCGGGGGTAGAGGGGAAGAATTGCTTTTTCTGCTATTGGGGGAAAAAAAAAATTTCAGAAGGCAAAGCATATTTTGCAAATCTGGCTGGAAAGAAAGTCCCGTGAACGAGTTTCACTTTTTATGTTTCCCCCTTTTTTTTTTTTGCACTGATGCTGCGGTATGAAGTTATCATAAATCAGAAAGTACATTAGGTTTCCTACTCAAATTACATTCTCTTTCTCCTTGCTTCTTTTCCCTATAATCTCCATTCCTCTGTTAGGAGACTGGGGAGGGGCAGAGGTGGGTTTCGCATAATTTTACCACCGGTTTGCCGCGCACCGAAAATGTGCTCGTGCGCGCGCCTTTCGCGCATACGCCTGGACTTCCATGCATGTGCTTTGCTCTCTCTCTCGTGGCTTGCACTTAGAAAATGTGGCTAAATAAGATGGCATAGGGCCGTGTTGTGGCCCGTACACAGCCTGTGTGACTGGTGGCTGATTTGGACAGTGAGGAGGCTGGTGTGGTGCTCTGCCAGCATCCTGTGCAACTGGCACTCGAGTCGGACAGTGAGGAGGCTGGAGAAGATGTGGTGCCGGAGGCAGGGATTCAGCCAGGGCCTTCAGAACCTCCAGAAGCTCCCTTAAATGAAGAGGATGAAGAGGAGGAGCCTCTTCTCGATGCGCGGGTGCGCAGAGATGTTAAAAGGCAGGAGTGGCTCCTCAGGAGAAGGTCTCCTCGAGAATAAGGCTTGGGGCTAATTGGCCACTCCCTTAGCCTATTTAAGGAGGAACGCCGACTGAAGCAATTTGCAGGGAACAACTTCGTTCACTCTCCTTCGTGCCTTGATCTTAGTTCTCTGCAAATTGCTTCTGGGCTTTCTGCCAACCATAGTAAGATTAAGATTATTTATTCTTTGGATTCTTGCAGTCTGTTAAGAAAGTTAATTAACAGCCTTTGTTTGAAAAAAAAAAAGCTGATTTTATTTTAGTAAACTAAGGTTTGTACAGACTTTGTGTGTGCTGCGTTCTTTGGGGTCTGTAGCTGGGGCAGAACAGTGCTGGGGCGGGGCAGGGCAGGGGCAGGCCCACCCACAGGTCGCCACTACCGGTTTTCCTGAACCGGTCTAAACCAGCTGAATACCACCACTGGGAAGGAGAGTTCGTACTCATTCACATGCCATTCCAAAAAGGCAATGAAAAAGCTAAGAAGGAAACAAGCAACAACAACAACAACAACAAAACAGACAATGGGTACTCCTCAACTCACAACAGTTTGTTTAGTGACCTTTCAAAGTAACGACGACGCTTATGAAAAAGTGACTGATGAACGGTTTTCACACTTATGGCCATTGCAGCATCCCTTCGGTCATTGTGATCGACATTCAGACACTTGACAACTGACTCATATTTATGACAGTTGGGGTGTCCCAGGGTCATGTGATAAACTTTTGCAAACGTCTGAGAAGCAAAGTCAATGGGGACATCAGATTCATTTTAACAACCCTGCTACTAACTTAACAATCGCAGTGATTCACTTAACAACGGTGTCAAAAGAAAAGTAATAAATTAACAAATGTCTGGCTTAGATGTAGACATTGTTTATCTCTGTGTGCCTGTTGATAGCTCTTACCAACACCGACAGAGAAATCCACCTGTATATAAACCAGAGAGCAAACCCCCACCCCCTACCCTTCCAGCACTGATGATGTTACCTAGTTGGGTCATGAAATGTCTGCAAGAAAACCATCAAGCTCAGAGAGCACCAAGGACCCCCCACAGGTCAATCTTGAACTACAAATACTGTATTTCTCTTCTATTGGTATGCTATTTTTCTCTGTTTATGAAATGTTGGATTGCCTTCTATTCATTCAAGCCATGATTATATATATATTTATCTAGTCATGAGAATAGAATAGAATAGAATAGAATAGAATAGAATAGAATAGAATAGAATAGAATAGGGTAGGGTAGGGTAGGGTAGGGTAGGGTAGGGTAGGGTACGGTAGGGTAGGGTAGGGTAGGGTAGGGTACGGTAGGGTACGGTAGGGTAGGGCAGGGCAGAGCAGAGTAGAGTAGAGTAGAGTAGAGTAGAGTAGAGTAGAGTAGAGTAGAGTAGAATAGAATAGAATAGAATAGAATATTGGAGTGAAGGATAGGATGGGATGGGATGGGATGGGATAGGATATTGGAATAAAGAATAGAATGGAGTGGAGTGGAATGAAATAGGAATAGGAATAGGAATAGGAATAGGAATAAGAATAGAATAGAATAGAATAGAATAGAATAGAATAGAATAGAATAGGGTAGGGTAGGGTAGGGTAGGGTAGGGTAGGGTAGGGTAGGTTAGGGTAGGGTAGGGTAGGGTAGGGTAGGGTAGGGTAGGGTAGAATATTGAAGTGAAGGATAGGATGGGATGGGATGGGATGGGATGGGATGGGATACTGGAATGAAGAATAAAATGGAGTGGAGTGGAGTGGAATAGGAATAGGAATAGGAATAGGAATAGAATAGAATAGAATAGAATAGAATAGAATAGAATAGAATAGAATAGAATAGAATAGAATAGAATAGAATAGAATAGAATAGAATAGAATAGAATAGAATAGAATTCTTTATTGGCCAAGTGTGATTGGACACACAAGGAATTTGTTTCCGGTACGTAAGCTCTCAATGTACATACAACAATAGTGATAGATCATGAACATAGTCATTGTAAAATACGCTCATCATAAAACACTAGATACGTGGTGTATATTGGAGGTGGTGGTGACCCTTTGAGAGCCGCAGGCAACAAAATTTCATTTTAATGTACACCGATTAGTGTACATTCAAAGTGAGACAAAAAGTTATCGTAAGTCTAAGTCTTCTATGACAACCTTGGAAATTGGGCTGCAAACAGGCTTTGTATTCAGATCTCCAAGGCTGGAGAAAACTCCACAAGAAAACAGATGTTATTTCTGTTGGTCTTTCCTGGACCAGAATGGAAAGAATCTTGATGTGTCCGAGGTTACCAGGTTGGGAAAAATTGTGCATTATTCAACCCATCAATTAATCTTTTCTTCCAGTTACTTACCTGTCATCACGTAGTCCCGGGCTCAGAAATCGGGAGGGTTCATCCTCATGATTGCTGTGTTGGCTGCTGTAGAAACAAGCAAAATATGAGGGACAAAGGGAGTGACTCTTAAACGAATAGTTAAACCAATTGGTTGTACATACAAATGAAAGCTTAATCATGCTCATTTATAAGTGGCATGTCCTTGTTCTCTTATTTTTTTTTTCCCCCAGCTTTGATTTTAACAGACAGTAAGGAAGAGATTTCCCGAAATCTTACTTGAATGTATTTATTTTATTTATTTATTTATTTTTATTTTATTAAATTTCTATACCGCCCTACTCCCGAAGGACTCAGGGCGGTGAACAGCCACGGAGTAAAACACATAAATACAAAAATTTAAAATAGAATAAAAACGAATTAAATAATTTGGCTGAACAAATTTAAAATACCCCGTAATTTAAAACCAAATTGAAATGTTCGTTTAAAAAGGGGAGAAGATTTAGGCCAGGCCAGTTTGATGAAATAAAAAAAGTCTTAAGCGCGTGACGGAAGGTGCGCAGATCCGGGATCCTCCGTATCTCCGGGGGGAGCTCGTTCCAGATCGTAGGTGCCCCCACAGAGAAGGCTCCCCCCCCTGTGGGCCGCCAGTCGACGTGGTTTGGCCGATGGCACCCGGAGGAGCCCCTTTCTATGGGAGCGTACTGGCTGGTAGGAGGCTATTGGTGGTAGCAGGCGGTCCCGTAGATAACCAGGTCCTAAGCCATGGAGCACTTTAAAAGTGATAACCAAATTTATTCTTCTTTCTTACAATACTGATCAGTGGTGTCCAACCTTGGCCACTTTAAGACTTGTGGACTTCAACTCCCAGAATTCCCCATCCAGTCATTCTGGCTGGGGAATTCTGGTTGTTCAAATCCACAAGTTTTAGAGTTGCAAAATCTGAACGCATCTCTTTTAGATAAAAAGAAAAAAGAAAACAGACTTCCTATGCATGTATTCAATACAGATGTCTTGTTTTCCAAATGTAATACATATTTTTTTTTTTTTGCAATACATTCCTCAATTTTTATTAGGACCCCAACAATATTATGCCCCTTCCCTCTGCCCCATTCTTTAAATGCCAAACCTTTCTTTTTAACTATGCCCAGAGCCATTTGGGAGGATGGCAGCCTTCCAAAAAATCTAATAAAACAGGTATAAATAAATAAACATAACACCGTTAAAGCAAGGAAATGATGGGAAACAGGACTAAAAATAAAAATCAGAAACTATCCTTCAAGCCATACTGCGACATATCCTCGGGCTTAAAATATCACCAGATTAAAATACTTCAGATTGAATGTCTATTCCGAAATGGAAGCTGTAGTCCTAAAGGGAGTATCCGGTTTCTCACATAATCTGGAAAATTAGCCTTCAAACCATCTCTGAATGACAGCACCCGCTGGCATCAAAATCATCTTATCAAGAAATAAACCCGGTTGATGGATGCTTCCAGTCTCGCCAAAGGTGATTTAGCTTTTTATGATGTATTTTTTAACCAGCATCAAAATCACACAACTCAAGAATTATTCACATCTGCATTTTCTCCACTGCAGGGATAGGAAACTCGGAGGGGGGAGGGGAGGGGAGATTCTAGAGGTTGCAACTACAATTCCCAGAAGCTCACGTCAGCTTGGTGGGGAGGAACGCTGGGAGTTGTAGTTCAGCCCCATCTGAAAGGCCACAATTTCACAGCTCTCCATCTAGGCCAAGCCATCCTACATCCTACAAGTCTGATTTCCCTGACTTCGAAAGAAGGAAGGAAGGAAGGAAGGAAAGAGAGTGAGGAAGGAAGAAAGAGAGTGAGGAAGGGAGAAAGAGGAAGGGAGAAGGAAGGAAGGAAGGAAGGAAAGAAAGAGAGTGAGGAAGAGAGAAAGAGAGTGAGGAAGGGAGTGAAAGAGGAAGGGAGAAGGAAGGAAGGAAGGAAGGAAGGAAGGAAGGAAGGAAGGAAGGAAGGAAGGAAAAAGAGTGAGGAAGGGAGAAAGAGAGTGAGGAAGGAGGAAAGAAGGAAGGAAGGAAGGAAGGAAGGAAGGAAGGAAAGAGAGTGAGGAAGGGAGAAAGAGAGTAAGGAAGGGAGAAAGAGGAAGGGAGAAGGAAGGAAGGAAGGAAGGAAGGAAGGAAAGAGAGTGAGGAAGGAAGAAAGAGAGTGAGGAAGGGAGAAAGAGGAAGGGAGAAGGAAGGAAGGAAGGAAGGAAGGAAAGAAAGAGAGTGAGGAAGGGAGAAAGAGAGTGAGGAAGGGAGAAAGAGGAAGGGAGAAGGAAGGAAGGAAGGAAGGAAGGAAGGAAGGAAGGAAGGAAGGAAGGAAGGAAGGAAGATAAATCAGTAATGTCTGTAAACAGATATGTGATGTCCTATTTCAACAATATTCTAAACCGTCATTTAGCATGGGTTGTGAATTTCTTACTACAGAACCACAAACATTTCCACAAATTATACAACCACCATGTCCCAAGGGTGATTTTTCAAGAGGCAACTGGACTTTCTTGTTTTTTCTTTTGAAGATGTTTCGCTTCTCATCCAAGAAGCTTCTTCAGCTCTGACAGGATAGTGAAGAATGGAAGGATTGATACTCCTTGCAGACAGCTGGTCATTTGCATCCTTTTAGAAGGTGGTTGAAGCACTTGGAGGTTTATCTGTGTCCTCAGGGTCACCTGAGCGGTGCTAATGATACCTGTAGTCTGCAGTTTTTTTTCCTCTGGAAATCCATTCCTCTTTCGTGCTTCAAGGACCCTCTAAAAAGGATGCAAATGACCAGCCGTCTGCACGGAATATAAATCCTTCCATTCCCCACTATCCCGACAGAGCTGAAGAAGCTTCTCAGATGAGAAGCGAAACGTCTTCAAAAGAAAAAACAAGAAAGCCCAGTTGCCTCCTGAAAAAAAGCACCTTTGGGACAACCATGACCTGCAAGACGGAGAATCTCTACAGACTTTTATACAAGCATCAGCCCATAATGCTGTAGATATACCAGGGTTTGTTTGTTTGTTTGTTTTGACGTCTGACTTTTTTTCCTGGACTCCCCAGAGCCCAGGGGGAAGGCGGTGAGACTTCTACTCCTGATGCTCTGAAGTCTGGATGGAGAACCCGAGGAATTCATTTATTACTGATGGGGGCAGATGGTAATTGAAGATACTGAACATACTGTTGGAAACAGAATTTGATTTTACCCTAACATGGGCGATGGAATTAATAATCTAGCTGAAAGACATTACAGAAGATACTATATGGATTACAAACTTAAAGTCATTTGAGGATTCTGTTTATATATGGAAATATTTTTTAGTGGTGCGGTGTGGGCAGAAGAACGAAGATATTAAAATATTATGTATGGTAGACCTGTAGCAAAATGGGTGGAGATAGGTTAGGTTACTGATTGCTTAGCTTAGAAAAAGGGATGTCATGTTTAGATATAAATATATGTAAAAGATTTGAATTAAGAGATATATGTATGGGGGTGGAGGAACTGGGTAGATTATGAGTTGAATAAATGCCAAATTAGGAATTGTTATAAAGTTTTATAGCTGAAGGTTGCTTTAAAATGTACAGTATAAGGGGGATATAATAACAATGTTAGAAAGAAATGGTTAGCATGTGGGGGTGGTGTAAAAGGATGGTAAAGTATTATTTAACTTGATATCAATGATTTTATTTTGAAGAAGCCATGGGGGGAGGGGAGGGGGGGTGAGGGAGGAGGGGGGAGGGAGGGGGAAAAAAAGGGGGGGAAACTTGTATTTGAAAAACTTTTTCAATAAAAAAAAAAGAGAGAGAACCCGAGGAATTCATTGCAATGCCCTTCCGAAAAACCGAGCCGGAGAGAAATCCGGTGGAGATATTGCCTCCTCCATCCAGGAGATGTCACCGTTTCCTTTTGCAGCTGTGGCAAATACCGCGTGGCGCTAAGAAAGAGGACATATGAGGCCAAGTGGCTTGTGATTTCGAAGCTCCCTGCGGTCATTATTACACAATTAGCTGGGATTCTGTTGCTCGGGAATCCACTCTTGTGGGTTATTTTCTATTGGTTGGCCAATGCTATTTATAGAGATCTCTTGAGACGGGCAAGAAACGGCTCCAATTTGGGCTTCCGAGTTGGAGGTGCTTGCTTCTGTTTTATCTCTTGTTGGAACAGTTAATTCACACTGACCCCTACAATAATTTTAAGGAGAAATTTCCTAACGCCAAAGGCTATTAACCGGTGGAAATGGTTTGTCTTCAGAAGTTTTAGGGATTTCATCCCTGGAGGTTTTTAAGAAAAGACTGGACAGCCAACTGGTACAGGGGGTTGGACTAGAAGACCTCCAAGGTCCCTTCCACCTCTATTCTGATTGATTGATTTTTTTTTAAATTTGATTTATACGCCGCCCTTCTCCGGAGACTCAGGGCGGCTTACAATGTGCTCAGCAATAGCCTTCATCCTTTTGTATATTTATACAAAGTCAGCTTCTCTTTCTTCCTTCCTTCCTTCCTTCCTTCCTTCCTTCCTTCCTTCCTTCCTTCCTTTTCTTTCTTTTTCTTTCTTTCTTTCTTTCTTTCTTTCTTTCCTTCTTTCCTTCTTTCTTTCTTTCTTTCTTTCCTTCCTTCCTTCCTTCCTTCCTTCTCTTTCTTTTCTTTTTTTTTAAAATTTGATTTATATGCCGCCCTTCCCCAGAGACTCAGGGCGGCTTACAAGGCGCTAAGCAATAGCCTTCATCCTTTTGTATATTTATACAAAGTCAGTTTATTGCCCCCACAAACTGGGTCCTCAATTTACCTACCTTAGAAAAGGATGGAAGGCTGAGTCGACCTTGAGCCTTGGCGAGATTCGAACCTGCAGTAATTGCAGGCAGCTGGTCTTAATAACCAGCTTAATAACAGGGTGCCTTAGACCACTGTACTACCAAGGCTCTTTGATTGATTGATTGATTGATTGATTGATTGAAATGGTCTAGGGCAGTGTTTCTCAACCTTGGAAGCTTGAAGATGGGTGTCAGGTTTCGATGCTATCTCAAAATAAATGGATTTCCAAACTGCCGATCTTTGAGGAAATTTTCTCTTTATTGAGCATAGTG